CTAGGCGACTTCTGGGCCGTTCGGGCGGCCAGGAGCTGCCCCTCGTTTCCACGCGGGCGAGGCGGATGCGCCTGCGAGCGCTCCCAGGTCTCCCGCCCCGCGTCCCCCGCTCGTCTCCCCCGGAGCGTGGCTGTCGCCGAGCGCCAAGACCCGGCTCCCCCGAGGCACGGCGCACCCCGAAGCCGGCGGCGCCAGCAGCTCCTCCCAGTCGAAGTCCTGGGGGCCGACGCCAGCCCGGGTGAGGAGGAGGCTCCGGGACAGGTCCCCGTTCGCGGTATCCCAGGAAGAGGCCAGCGTCGGGCGGCCGTTCATTCCCGAGTCCTCGACTCTGGTCTCCATTTCGCCGCCTCTGGCCGCAGCCAGCCCCGGAACCTCTCTTGCCGGGGTCGAGTTTCGGTCGGTGCAGAGTGGAGTGCGTACTCGCAGCGACTTCCGGATGTCTGTCTTCAAATCCGGAGTTGCCGCTTCTCTTGCCAGTGGCTAGAGACCTGGCAAGCAGAGGTGCGCATGCGCTCTGTCGTGTGACTTCCGAAAGCGCGTTCAACGAAGAGGTGGAGGGCGAGGCCCGGTGTCGGTTTTCCGAGGTTGGCTGGAGAAGTGTGTGCGGTGCCGAGGACTTTTGCAGGTGGCGGGTGTGTACTCCTCGCCCCCCGCGATCTGCGGGCGCCGCTTCGGGCCTAGTGGCCGCTGGAGTGGACGCCGGGGCCTTTCCCGTTCTGCCTGAGTTGTGTGCGTGGCACCGGTGGCGAGTAGCGGCGGTGACGGAATCCGGTGTTACTCCTCCCCGAGCCCGGGCTCCTGGCGCGCGCTTGCGGTGGAGAGGGTCGCGGAGGTGCGAGGTGGGGCTTCCAGGCGGCCCCGCGAGGTGGTGCTGGCGGCTGTTCGTTTTTAGGCGCCTGGACCCACCAGTTAGCGGACCGACTCCACTGTGCCCGGAGGACCCGGGTAGCCCAACCCGCATGCCCTCCACCTCTTTTGAAGAATTGTATTAACTGGAACTGAAGCCTTGGGTGGGGATAAGTGACGGCGTATGTAACTTGCGACCTTCTGGATGTCCTGCAAAATAGAAAGGGAGAGAAGAGAAAGGCTGTACACCTCCAGTTTTCGCCCCAAAGAGGCTGTAGGTGATTCTAGCATCTTTTGATCTTTTGAACAAAATAGTTTATAGAAAAGTGCAATGTCAGAGTTTCAAAGTTGTGTTTAAGGCGTATTATGTGTTCATTCATTGCAATTTACCTTTTTTTCTTTTTGAATACGTGTTCTCAATTTAAAACTCATCAGTGTGTAAGTGAATTCACCAAGATTGAAAGAAACCCAACTAGATGTCTTATTGATAGAGAACTCAAAAGGAATAAAGTCTTTAATTGAAAAGCTCCTGGTTTGCAAATATTCCTTAATACTCTAGACTCTTAAGAACTTAGGTTCTTACCACTATTTCAGTTCTGTATTTTCTGTTTCTTTGGTCATAAGTTAACTTTGACTTGTGGACAATTCAAAGGAAAATAACGCTCTTCAGAAACACTAATCTGCAATTTCGGGAACAAGATCAATATTATCTGTACTTCCTTAAGGGTGGTGAATCTGGAACCAAAAGTAAACATATTATGGGGCTGGGGCTGGGCTGTAGCTCAGTTGTAGAGTGCTTGCCTAGCATGTTTGAGGCACTGGGTTGATCCTCGGCACCACATAAAAATAAAGGTATTGTGTCCATCTACAAATAAAAAATATATTTTTAAAAAAGTAAACACATTATGGTCTCCCTTTCATTCTCGTATGATCAATAAATCACCCAGTCTACATTTTAAGAACTCCATCTCTGCTGCTTATGTTTTAAAGCACTAGCTTCATTTGAACCACTCCAGCCCTTTATTTACTGGTCACTAGTCTTTATTCTCATCACCTGCATATCCTTTGGGCTGCCTTCTGCCTTCTGGTGATAGAGAATCACCATCATCTTGACTCCTTAGCATGCAATCAAAGCTCTTTGTTACCTAGAATGCCATTTCTTCTCAATAGTTGTGGAAATTCTGTTTATCATTCAAACCATGCCCACATCCACTCTACTACATAATTGAACTAATTCCTCTGTGCTACATTGCACTTATTTTAGGCACTAAAATTCTCTTCTTTGACATTTTTGCCTATTCATGCTTGCTGAGATTAAGAATTACTTTGTGCCTGGTTGTTGACTACAGACAAGTTCTTTGTGTGGGATTGATTGGTGTTAACGGGCAGCTTTATCACAAACTAAAAGCAGAAAAAGGCAGAACTAGTAAATCCAATTTTATGCTTTTTTCCCCCAAAGCCTGCAAGGTAATGATTTAGAGCTGATCTCAATATGATTCATTGCCCTTATCAAGAATTGCAAAGGTGTTTTTGTTTTGTTTTTTGCTTCATTTTTCACTTTGAAATAATTTTTTAAATGTTGGAAATTTCCTACCAATATCACTAGGATAAACTATGCAATTTTTTGGTTTACCTATTTTCAACGACTAATTACAGCTTTAGGAGCATGTTTCACATCTATTTTCAGAATATGGGGCAGCATATATTTGAAAGATACATTTTAGAAGTGACTAAAGATGTCTCCTTGAACCCAGTTAGAAGTACAGCAATTTACACCATCTTCATTTTAAATAGCATTTTATTGCAGATGCCCTTTTACCCAGCAAAGTGGTGATAGGGACATGATTTCCCTCCTTGCTAGGACCACTTGCTTTGTACTTCCTCTCTTCCCTCCTGTCTCTTGTACTTGCAAGTCACAGTTGCCAGGAATTCCTTCCCAGCAAGTCTTCATACTGGGCCTGTAGTAAGGAAAGTGTGAAAAGATTAGCCTCCCTACCGTTCTCCCTCAATTCCATCACTGGGCACTCTCCACCTCCACCTCATTTACAACCTCTGTCTGGTTACCAACACTGCTGGACTATGTACAGATTTCAATACAGCCTAAGAAAATGTTGAAATACTGTGGAGGCTTTTAGACTATAATGGAATCTGTCCACTTACATGATCATTCCCTGACTTACACTTTCTTATCCTAAAGCTGTAATGCAGTTTCCAAAGACTCTGGCTCTTGACCAGCTAGCTCCTGGAAGATAACCTCTAAGCCAGAGGAATCCTGCCAGCTAGTTTATGTCAGCAATGATTTAGGGTAAGGACCACAGGTGAGTCATGCTGTTATCAATGTGACCTCTGGATAGACTGAAGAGTGAAGAAAGCACATGGATGTTCCATACCTATGAGACTGACCCCATGACAAACCATTAACACCAAGGTGCCAATGAATTTCCCTGGTCATCAGTAATGTGTACATGTTACACATCACTGCAGAGACAAGTAAATGCTCCCAGCTTCACTGGGAGAAGACAACTAGAAGCTTGTACTTGGTCTTTCCTGGATTTTTCACTATGTACCTTTGCTAATTTAATATGTGTCCTTTCTTTGCAATAAATCACAGTTGTGAGTTATTTCTTTTTCTGAGTTTTATGAGTCCTTCCAGCAAATCATTGAGGGTGGTTGAAGGAATCTTCAACACAGCAGTGATGGTCAGTATAAGTCAAGAAATGGACATTCTTCCATTAGTAAGTTAATTCTCCGTGGGAAAGTGCTAGTTATATTAGGGGATAGTGTGTGTGACTTAAAAAACATACATTCTTAGCAACACACAAAAATCGCTATTCTTGCTTCCTTACCTCTGTCTATGATCACTACCCTAGAGCATTGATAAAGAGAATAATTTAAAAGTAAAGTTAGGGGACTCTTTAATACAAGTAGGTAGGAATCATATAGCCATGTCTTATTGCTAACTATGTGTTTCTTATAACACATTCTTAAATACTTTGGCACATCTTTTAAATTCAGAGTTTTTGTTTATATTTTATCTTCCTAATTTAAAAAAAATCAATGTTTTACTTGAGTCTATAGTAATGTACATTAATGTGAATGGTAAAAAGTGGATCAGAAAGGTAAGCAGCATGAACTACAATACAGAAAATGCCCCTCCAGCTTCAGAACACCTGGCTGAAGATGAACTGTTGAGAGCCACAGCCAAAGGGGCCCCAGCAAACTTCCAGCTGCTGGCTGATGATTGGCTCACAGTGGCCCCAGCAACATCTAGCTGATTGGCTCCTCTGCAATGATGTTCATTGGGCTGTTTCCCTGCCCTTCAGACTGCCAGCTGATGATTGGCTCACAGCGGCCCCAGCAACATCTAGCTGATTGGCTCCTCCACAGAGCTGCTCATTGGGCTGTTTCCCTGCCCTTTCAGACCACGGAGCTGCTCACTGGGGGACTTCTTTGGCTCCACCCACACGACCCAGCCAATCAGCCTCAAGAGCAGGAGGATTGTGGGAGGTGGTGAGGTTTGTGTGGGGGAGAGGCTTGTGGAAGCCGGTGGTGGCAATTGGGCTCTGAGGGTTTTTTTCCTGAGGAGCTGTTTTGCTTGGCGTTTGTAGTTCTAAAAATAAAGTTAGTTTCTTTTGACAAGTGGCTCCTGAATTGTGCCCAGCCAGACTGCGGCAATGAACTTTCATAATGAACCCATTAATGAAATTGCTTTATCCTGCTTTCTTGAGGACTCGGCAGTAACTTTAGAGTCTTAGAGGCCCAGATGAACCAACTCTTGTTTGGGTAAGTTTAAAGTATCAACTAAACTAAATTAACTATAGGGTTTGAACTTTTGATTTACTACTTTTTGTATGCTTTTGTGGCACTTGTACACTCTGAAAAAGTAACCCATCAAAAGTTCTACAATCCATGTGAATTTTGTACATTTCCTTCAGAAATCATCCATTTTAGGCAGAATGTTGATAGAATTTTGAGGTATGTTTATTAGCATTCCCTCCAGGGATATGCTGTACTATTGGATTAAAGGTTAAGGGGATGCTGCAAAATCAGCTTGGTTAGCTGTGCTTTTTTATGTAACATGATATAAACAATCAAATGTAAATTTTCTTAATTTGTAATTATATTTTTTCTCAACATACTGTAGACATTGTACTTATCTCACTTTATCCCTTTGAATTGTGACCTTTTTTAACTGCAAAAACTATCTTTATTTACATGTGAACTCCCAGCATTTAATAGTCTCTACTATACAAATATCAAGTGAACACTGAATGAATAACTTAAATGGCATTAAAATATAATTATTAACCTGTGAGAGGGCTACTTTAAACATCTTTATAATTAAACATATAAAACAATGCTAGGAAGTAGGGACACAGTGGGAAAAGTCATTAGAAATTGCTAGGAACTGCTTTCTTCCCAAGTTGTGCTGGATGCTCAGATCCTTTCTCAACATGTACAACTGCTCTTTGTTCAAGATACATGGTAATCTTAGTGTTAGCGACATTGATTATTCTGGGTCCAAGTATCCACTCTCAGCATATTAGATAACTTATTTGCTTTGAACCACATAATATTAGGAGCACAGTGGCCTTTGGGAAACCAAAAAACACTAGATATTGTCAAAATATCTGACTCATATCTTAGGATCCCCTTTTAAAAAAAAATAGGAAGGTAAGACAGGTGACTTGAAGGTGATTCAACCACAAATGACAATGATCCAATGATGGACAGTATAAAACGGAGCCAGGAAGCTTGTAAATTTTTCATTGGCCTAAATTTTACAAAATGTTGAAATGGGTATGAATTTTGCCTCGGTGAAGAATAAAGTCAGTGAGGTGGGTGGCAGCTAAGGGGCAAGCATGAAATATTATCTACCAGGTACTAACTAACACTTAATCTCTGCAACTAGAAATGAGACTTGTGTGGAGTTTGTGGACATTGCTATACTGACCAACTCATGTTTGAATTATGGTGAAGGAGTTCCAGGTTTTGGGGGAAGGGTAACTGGGATTGAACTCAGGGGCACTCGACCACCAAGCCACATTCCCAGCCACTGGAATTACAGACGTATGCCACCACACTGGGCCAAAGGAGTTCCAGGTATTTTTAAAAGGTAAAAATCTGTTCATAACTTAAAAGGAGCTTCAGAAGTCTTGGCCCTTGAATTAATAAAGAAGGCAAAAGATGAGCAAAAGAGGTGAGAAGTGGGTTTTTATGGCCATTGCTGTGATAAAATCTGGGCTTTTGCAGCTACTGTTAGCAATCTCAGTTACCAATTAAAGAGGCTGGATGATGAGTTAGCACAAAATTGAAAGCAACCAGAAGAGAAACCTGCTTTTAAGTGTACTAAAAATGGCAGAAGTCCAATTTCAGATTTTCTAAAAAGTTCCTTACAATGCCTAGCCCCCTGAGTGGCAGCATTGACAGAACAGAACTAATAAGGTGAGGTGGGTCACATGGCCTTGCCCTGGGTTTCAAGTAGAATGGCTGCTCTAGCATGAAGGATTACCAATCTCCCCCCTACTGTCCTAAGGGTCATCAGGGACAGAATGATGACAGCTGACTCTGCCATGTGACTCTACCAACCTAATGCAATTTTAGACAAGTTTAACAGCAAACCCTAGACTAGAGTGACCTATGGCCCTTAGGTTCTATGTCTGTGTGTAAGGTAAAACCGGCCACTTCAATGGTCTCCACTGAAGATGGGGATTGCTTAATGCCTCATTTATTGCCTCCAAT